ACACCAGTCATGTATTTTCTAATTGAAAATTGATCAACAAATATATTTTAAGATAAAAAAAAAATGTAGGTATCTAGACATTTGGAGAAAATTGCATCTTTTTATGCTTATACAGTATTTTAGTTCTTACAATTTACTTCTGTAATACTTAGTGTAAAAAGCTTGTGCAATCATTCTAGACATCACATATCACGTCTAATTTCATACCACGCTAATAAGCATTGGTATCTAATGCTAGATTAAAGAAAATTCGATTTCTCTAAAAATATTTTTTTTTTAATGTCAACTTTTTACAGGACCGTTTCTAAGACTTCAAAGAACCTTGAATTTTATTGAGATGCATAAAATGAAAATTGTTGCACAAAAAAGATCTCAATTTCAAGCTTCATTTTGAGACTTTTTAAATAAAATAATAAATTTAAGAGTTATCCTTCCTGGCTGAGGATCGGATATCCTTAAGACAGGTAGATCTATATACAGTGCGGAAAATAAAAAAAGGACAATACCCCCCCCCCCCCCCCAATATGGAAAAGACTAAATTTTGAGTTTTGTTGCTAAGAAGTAATATTTTTATTTCACATTATAGGCCTACATCAATTATTTTGATTACATTAAACTCTAGAAATGACGTTCTGTTCCAGAAGCATATAACTCGTCTATATGACGTGATACACGTTCAAACGTCATGATTAACTTAATATTTAAAAAAAAAATTGTATAAAAGGTTCTCATATTTCGACATATATGCTCAACGCTTATACATGGCCTTTGGACGTTAAGGGATCACATCTGCTGTCACAAGAAAACAGTCAACATAGTGCTAAACTCTTTACGTTTTTTCGTCCCCCTCGTACAATTTGCAAAAATAATTATCACTGATTCTTGTACATGTTTCAGGTTATAGTACTAGTGCTAGTAATCTGATAAGAATTCAAATAGGCGTCCACTCGTAAATTCTGCCTGTTACATACTTGGTTATGAGGATTTAGGAGGAGAAAGATTTTGACTAGTTATGTAGTTGCTATCTATGAAACGGGACAAAGAAAGCATTGTTTAAAATAATGATGTAATGTATTTGCTAGAGCTGTAATTTTTCTACTTTGATCTACATCGCTTAACAAGGCTATATTTCATTTGAAATGCACAATAGTTACACTCTGTATTTTGTAATAGAGCTAAGATTTATGATAGCTGACTTTCAAAAAAATAATTTTAAATATTTTTATACGTCGCAATATACACAGAATGACCTGCATGTAGTGTGTGTCCTTTTCATTTGCATACTGGAAAAATCATTTTTAAATTTGTAAAATAAGGTTGTTGCTTATATATCCTCTGTGATTGTAACATTGCTGAAAAAGAGGTAAGAAGTATCTTGTTATGTTGTGGTTGGATAACGTAAGCATATTTCTTTATATTTGCAATTTGTAAGATGTACATGTAAGGAATCACTGTCTAGTTATTAGAGTATGCCAGGGCATCAACGATAGTTGGAAACGTGGGATAATTTGCATAACGGGTGAAGCCCGTAATTCAAAAATTATCCCACGTTTCCAACTATTGTTGATGTCCCTGGCATACTCTACTAACTAGACAGTGATTCCTTATATTTCCATTTCATAGTATATTCCTACTAACTAGACAGTGACTCCTTATATTTCCATTTCATAGTATATTCCTACTAACTAGACAGTGATTCCTTATATTTCCATTTCATTGTGAAATAAAATTGTAAATTTAGATTTTAAAAATTAGACTAATAAATTTAAATTTCACGAGGCCTCACATGTCAATTTCAACACTTCCCGCCCACTGACGTCAAACACAAAGACAGCCGCACGAGAATTACATGCATATTAGGCCTCCTTAGCGACAGACACAAAGACAGCCGCACGAGAATCACATGCATATTAGGCCCTCTTAGCTCCTGACCTTTCGCTTCGCGAATTTTTTTTTTATACATGTATATTCCGATGTAAAACTGTGATCGACTATTGTAGCTCGACCCTACCCCTGGGGTATTGATTTGGATGCTTCCATATTTATATGACTAAAATCTCCAGAGGATTTTTTTTCGAAAACATTCCTATGTAAAACTTTGATCTTATATTGTGTTCCCACCCCAGCTGTTGTTGAGAAGTTTTTTTCCAATATATTGCTATGTAAAACTGGTCCCAGAATATGATTTGAATAGCTTTGAATTTACACACTACATAAAGAACCCATTAGTTCTTAGAAAAAAAAACAGATTAAGATATTTAAATGACACCATCTCCTAATCATCCGTTCCTAGAAGCAATGCTGTCCTTCAATTGTGTGATAAAATTGGATTCCATTCTATTTTCTAGGCTTGATTAAAATTGATCTTTTATCAGACAAACAAGGAACCGACAAAGGTTGAACGAACTCGGAATTAAAAGTTCACTTGAGGTTTCAGTACAGGTGAGATTACTTTCTCCAATTACTTGAAATAAAACGTGTTAATTTGGACATTGTACGTACTCATCTTTCTGTTTTAAAGTGACAAACTGGCAAATAAAATTGAGTAAACGAGCGAAAAACACACTTCTACAGGAATGACGTAACTGAATATCTACATATCTGTTTGTGATAAGTGTGGTAAGTAGTGATTACTTACCTAACTTATAAAAAGGACTCTTATAAAATAGCTATCATTTATACTTTATACTAATCCTGAATTGATACGCACTATAAAAATGATTGTATAAAATAACTATTATTTTTACCTAACTATCCTATATTGAAAGGACTGCATGAAATAACTACCATCTTTACTTTACTTATCCTAAATTAATAGGCACTAGAAAAAGGATTGTACAAAATAATTATCTTCTATCAGCTAATTATATTATTAACATTAAAACGTCCTCAAAGAATCCACAATTGATTCAAAGAGATTTTTTAAAACTTTTATATTACGATTTTTAATATTTTTTTTCTTTTTCTTTCTTTCTTAATTTACAGGTACCCTACCCACACAATCAGAAGAAAGTTTGGGTATATTGTCATCCTATTCCGTCCATCCATCTGTCACAACTTTTTCTTCCTCAAACTCCTCTTACATTTTGGTATAGTTTTCTGCAGGTGCGCAATACAATTTTGAAAAACTTTATTTTCACCCTGGAGGTAGTAATCAACTGGGGGTTGAAAACAGTTTTTCTACAAATTTTTTTTCCTGAAACTTCTCTTACATTTGAAACAGAATCCAACTCATCTTTTGGAATATGATACGTGGTTTTCTAATGATGTGTATTATGGTCTGATATTTTCACTCTGAGCACCAGTTGGGGATCGAAAAAACCACTTACCTACAAAATCTTTTTTTTTTCAATCTCTTTTTACATTTTTAAAGCAGTAGCCTTCACCGGTATCTGGTGACATCTCTATATGAGTGAAGAATTCTCGAACGGGACGTAAAACAACATAAGATCAATCAATCAATCAATCGGGGTGGGCAATTTGCAGTAGAAAAAAGACGTTTTCTTGTGAAAACTTGGTTCCGAGACTTTTTTTTTTATTTTATGCAGTATCCCATTCATATTTTGAAATGCTGTAAACCAACTATTATTTGCTATCTCATTCCTAATTTGTCAGTGCAAGGTCCATCCGCGACTTCTAATTTTCGAGACTGAGGAATATTTTACATAAATACGCAATGACTGGTTGGAAGCGAGAATGATTCACGAGTAAAGAAAGGTTGCAAAAGTAGCGGATATTTTTCGCTCGCGAAAAAAATTGGTTTGCATAGTATGATTTGTGATGTCCTTAAGATATGCAATAAGGCTTCGGAATTTTTATTTTCTACAGTATAGCCAACGAGTCAAAAAACTTTCTTATTTTTTTAAAGAAAAATGTTTCCAGATAGTCTAATAGGTTTTACGATTCTTTAAACTGGAGATGAATTTAAATGTATGAAATACGAACTCAAGAGATCCAAAGACCACAGTCAAGTTCACCTGAGCATTTTATGCTCAATTTGATACAAGAATATTTTAAGTTGTTCAAGTTCACCAAGAGCTATACTCAAGTACAAAGGAGTAAATCACAGGAGATTTGTAAAGGAGAATACCCGCACGTAAGTGTTTTACGTGCTGGTATTACTTAAGGAATCACTGTCTTGTTAGTAGAGTATGCCAGGGCATCAACGATAGTTGGAAACGTGGGATAATTTGCATAACGGGCGAAGCCCGTAATTCAAAAATTATCCCACGTTTCCAACTATTGTTGATGTCCCTGGCATACTCTACTAACTTGACAGTGATTCCTTATATTTCCATTTCATTGTGAAATAAAATTGTAAATTTAGATTTTAAAATTGTAGACTAATAGATTTAAATTACACGAGGCCTCACATGTCAATTTCAATAGTCCCCGCCCACTGACGTCAAACACAAAGACAGCCGCACGAGAATTACATGCATATTAGGCCTCCTTAGAGTCAGACACAAAGATATCCGCACGAGAATTACATGCATATTAGGTCTTCTTAGCTCCTGACCTTTCGCTTGGCGAAATTTGCATTCCGTTAGAATGATCAAGAAATCAACTCTCCTAACTTTCAAAGAGTTATCACAGAGAAAACAAATAGAAATGGAAATATTATCATGTGGACAACATCGGGTTTTTCCTATAGATATGTCGGGGATATTCTTCACTTCTAAGCTATCGTTCAAATCACATGAAATATGTTTTAATATTGTGTTTTTCTTTATTTTTGATATTTTTTGTTTTTCATCCTCTTTATTCCGTTTTGTTTGGTTTTTGATAAGGGAATTTTGGGAAGAATTATATATATGTACATATCTTTTCATTTTTTAAAAGTAACGTAAACGTTCGAAGGGTTTCCTGCTTCGCGAAAAAAAAAAATGAGTACTGCCACTGAGATGTGATACACTTCAGTTATACCTTGTAGCCTTCATTTTTCTAAGTCAATGTTTTTGGTTTAACATTTATATATTTACATCTTTTAATTTTCCAGAATGGTAGATCCAACACTTCTGTATAGACGTTACCATGGTTACGTCAGCAGTCTGATTTGTTTAACAGGTATTGTAGGAAATGTTGTAAGCTGCATCGTGTGGATCCGTAAGAAGTCCCAAAAGCCTACTTTCTTCATCTTATCCTTTCTGGCCATTGCAGATGCGCTTTGTCTCCTGATGTTTCAAATTTATGTCGTCTGCTTCTTCATGATGATGTCCCCTAATGACGAAGAAACTTACACCAAGGCGGGAATGTACATTGTGATGATAAGTTTCCACTTGTTCATTGCTTTTCACATGCTTTCTACGTGGTTCACGATTACGATGATGATTTTCAGATACATCAAAATTGTAAAACCAACACTAGCGTCCAAAGTCTGCACCATTACACGTGCAAAAATTTCCATCGCCGTCGTTACTGTCATGGTCCTTTTGGCATCAGCAGCAAACTATCCTTTCTACGAAGTTCAGAAAATCAATCAAGGAAATGCGACAAATGCTACCATTTATTTTCTTATGCCAACGGCATTCACAAAATCTCATCCCGAATATCCCACTCTATTGTTGTGGATTTATGGTGTCGTGGTAAAAATAATCCCCATCATGACCATTGTGATTCTGTGTGGCTTAATCATTTGTCACATTCAAAACGCCAAAAGACGGGTCCAAGACATTAGTCAAAGTCTCACTTCGGCCGAAACCTACAACCAAACGAGCTTAATGCTGACCGTTATTGCATTCATTTACGTCCTCACTGAACTACCGATTGGTATCATGTCTTTTATTTCTGGTTTCCATGGAGATGACGGACATCTTTTTTACTTCCTGCTATTTTCGGGAGTTGGAGACTTGCTTGATTTATGTACCTTGGTAAATAGTACCGTTAACGTCTTCGTGTATATCTGTATGAGTGGTGAATTCAGAAGAATTTTCCTTAAGATGATAAAATGTAACTAAATCAATAAGTGCATGTAAAATCCAACGAAAAGGAAGAAAAGGAAATTATTACATTTTCAACAGTAAAATACTGTGATTTATTACATTTTCAACAGTGAAATACTGTGATTTATTTATTGAATAAAAGTGATATTCTCTCACAGTGTGAAAGGATATCAAAGTAAGTAAAAAATAATTTCTGGCCTGTCATAAGATAGAGATAGTAACTAAGCATTTTGATAGAGCTAAAACTGCAAATTTCTTCCCAAATATATTGCTGAAATCCATGCTATGTAATGTTTTCAATCACACAACTGCTAAGCTATGACGTCTCAACCTCTCAACTATGACGTCAAGCCTATGACACTGTGTTAAGAAAAGACAGAGGCAAAGGGAAAATCAAAGAAAATGTAATAAACAGAAAATTCAATGTTTTGTAGATGGATATGGAATTTATTTCACTCGTGAGACAGGATTTTTTTATATTTTCACTCGTGCTTCGCACTCGTGAAAATATCAAAAAATCCTGTCTCACGAGTGAAATAAATTCCATATTCATCTACAAAACATTGAATATCCTATGTGTATTCATTTTCCCGTTGTTTTTTTTAATTGTAAAAAGTTGTATGATGGTTACATTATTTGAACAATTTTCAAACTTTTTTTCAATTTCCAATTAATTCAATATCAAACTTCCTTTATACAATTTCAGTGATAGATTTTGTCATTCTCTGACAATATACGGACATTCAATATTTAAAATGAAAAAGTTTCTCACATTATTTCATCACTCTCACACACTGGTTTCTGCAATATGTCAGAAAACCCTTGGAGAGGATGCACAATTAATTGGTAAATTTTGACCCGGGACTAAAACTCATTGTGTCTCTCCGATTTTTCGGAGAGATATTGCTCCAAAGCATCATCATTGTTTTGCTCAAATTAAATCTCGGATTTATACAAGCAATTTGTGAAGAAAATGCTAAGGTGGTAGAAAATAAAAATTGATGATCCTTAATTGTTTTCCCTCTAAACATTTTTATGTATATGTCACACTATATTCTTATATGTGTCGCACCTAATCACAAAATATTGTTGATCATTTATTAATGATTATGTAGAAGGTCTTGTATATGAAAATAATGTGCTTCAAAATTGTATTATTGGAGTTTTTGAAATTGTATTTTCATTTATTCGATTTTTTTTTTTTGGGGGGGGGGGGGGGTTGGCTTACACGAAATAGAAACACACCCCGTCAAAACAAATTTTTATTACGCGCTAAAGCATATTATTTTGCTGCACACCCATATGATTAACAGTATTATGAAAAAGATAAACTCAACATGACCAAAGGCTTAGTAATTCTGTGTTGTTTTGTATTGTATTGTACACGTGCTGTATTCATACATGTATTACTATATAGATTTTCCGTCCATACAAGGGTGAAGAATTGTTTTAATACAGATATGGTAATCTGTAAATTAATGCTTCTAAAAGCATAATGATTTTTTTTCATTCAATAATGCAAAGCAAGAGCTTTGACATTCTTATTCTGGGGTACATATTCAGCATGTACTTATTTGGGGTTTTTTTTCAGAAAAGAAACTTTTTTATATTGATTCATTTATAGTTAAATAATTTTCTAAAATTTTTATTCTTAGGTTTTCTGTTAATTTTCTTATGTTATGCATTGTCGTATACTTTTTCATTCAGGATTTCTATATGATCAACATGATAGATATGCTTTCTATAATAAGTTAATGTATTAGAGTTAAGTCTCAAGTTTTTTTCTTTTTATTCACAATCAAAAGCTTTGAAGCAAATCAATTTGGACGTTGATGATTTAACATGCCCAGATATCATCCTTGTTAACAATTTTCTAAAACAATCTGATTGACACTTGCAAGCAAGTTTTTTCTCTTTTTTAAACAATAAACAAGTTAAAAAGCATTCTTTTTAATTTTATTCTACAGACTTTATTATTGTCTATTGTGACATTTAAAGATTTATTATTAGTGTTTACGTTTTACCGCGTGTGTTTAATTTGCACATCACTGAGCACGGATTGACAATACTGGTAAGTTGGTTTTGCTTTCTTAAATTTCTACTCTGAATTTTTTGGATTAAAGTTTAATGTTTTTCATTAATGCACAACAAAATTTCTACTTTTCTTAAATATTAAGAAAAATGTTTACTTTGTGAAATTTCAAGGATATGTGTCAATCTGACACAAAATTCGTGATTTTAATATAAAAGAAAAGGAATTTTTAAACACGTTGGTATGAAATGCTCTAGCAACATATAAGTGATGATATCAAACTGAAAATTTTAGAAAATATTAACTTCAAATCTGTGTCCAAGCCACTTTAAGTGTCCCCATACCATGTACATGACGAAGATTTTTTTTTTTGAGATTAGTGAAGAAGGCATAATATATGTAGAATACAAATTTCATTTTATTTTGATATGCCCCTTGTATAACAACCTAAGAGAGAAATTTTTGGAAAAAAAAATTAATTATACTAAGCCTTGTGTCTTGAAATTGCTAAGTACTAATAATTTTAAAGATCTTTTAAATTTGACAAACTTTTAAATACTGCCACATTGTTAATAAAAACAATACTGATGTATAAAACTATTTTCATGCATGTATTCTTACGTTCGCTCTCTCTGTGGGATTTCTTTTCTTAATAGCATGTACTTATTTCTCTGATTAGCCAGTTGGCTTAAGGAATTAAAGAAACTTCAAGCTAATGAAAGCATTTTATGGGAGGGGGACCTAGTACAGCTTAACCGCCCCCTCCCATCCACAATTATCGCAATTATTTCCATACGACACAATAAAACGATTTTCCGCCAGTAAGTGGTGGTCATATTATGTCAATAACCTAAGACAAAATAAAAATACTCGTTAATTACGAATATAGAATTTATAACCATATTATGGAACGCCATAGCTGCCTGAAGGTCATTTTCATATTATATGAGGTGGGATAACCTTTATGTGAAGTGGTGAAGTCATTATATATAGTGGTAAAATCATTATATTCAATGAAAACTTTATTATATGCAGTCGTTTTATCATTATATACAGTGATAAAATCATTATATTCATTGAAAACTTTATTATATGCAGTGGTTTTATCATTATATTCAGTGGCAATGTCATTATATGTAGTGGTTAAATAATGTAATGAAGTGATAATATCGATATATTATGTTGTAAAATCATTATATGCAGTGGTTTGTCCATTATATACATTACTGAAATCTTTCTGTGATGTGATGAATTCAATATATACAGTACAAACATAATTTGTGTGATAAAGCAATCATTACATTGTATGAAGCCCGCTGCATGTGGAGTGCCAAGTTAATTTCATTCAGTGCGACACCTTTACATGAAGTGAAAAATCTATTATGTGCAGTACTAACATCATTATATTATATAGTAAAATTATTATATATATTCCTTAAATCATGCTTTGCAGTGGTAACATCTTTATATGAGGTGGTTAATTAATTATATGATGTTGTTAATTTGTTATATGATGTGGTCAAATCTTTATATGCATTAGTCGTTTCATGTTATGCAGTGGTAACTTCTTTATCATCATCTAAACTGGTCCTTTTATTTAAAAAAAAATGCGCGGAGTTCCAGTTTAAAGAGTGTTTAAAAATAGGAAACCCAGGCCGTGGCAAATTAAAAGCCGGGGTTAATTCGAGATTTTTCTAATTTCTGATTCTATTATACAGCTTCCTGATTTTATCAACTGTGCTGAAATTTTAATAACTCATTTTTATAGGTTAATGTGTATTCGCTGTAAAAATTGCAGTTAATTTTAAAATACTTAGTAATTTAGATTTTCTTGGCGATTGTTGATTTCCAAGTTCAGTGGTGGATCCAGGAATCTTGAAAAGGGGGGCACGACAAGTTTTTGGTCGGGGTAGGTAGCCCACAGCCAAACAAAAAAACAACTGATTTATTAAATCTTTTGTATATTTTGGACACAAGGGGGGGGGGGGGGTCCCATAGGCCCTCTCTGAATCCGCCCGCGAGGTTTGTAAATCGGTTAGGCAATCAAGTAGACATTTTACGTGTTTTGTTTGTTTGTTGGTTTTTTGTTTGTTTGTTTGTTTGTTTTTTTTATTTTTATTTTTATTTTTTTTTTTGCCATATTTGACAGAAAGCTAATAAACTTTTAAATTATTCTGATGTTAAAAATTATTCATTCTTTGAAAGGCATTTTTTGAGTGAAATGACACGTTTAAGAAAAACCGGTTCACATAGGCGTCGGAACCGGGGGGGGGGGGGGGGGGGGGGCTATTACCCCCTTTTTTTTTTACAAAGGTAGACATAATATAGGCATTGAAAATCGGGCGTAGGTCTAGCCCCCCCCTCCCCACTTTCATTGTAGTGAAAGAAGGGTAATTGGTAGTGTTTAAACGAATTTGGTACTGAAAGATGTTCGACCAACCCCCCCCCCCCCCAACCCCCCACCCACACCCCCGAAATAGGATTTTCGGGTTTGGAGAAAGAACAATTTTCCTTTTTTTTTTTTTTGCTTGTCAAGTTTTTTTTTTTTAGGTTTGATTTTTTTTTTCTATTTCAATTAGCCACCCCACTATCAATTTCTTTCCGACGCCAATGGTTCATTAAAATCGGATTTGATCTCCCGGAAGTCAAACATAAAAAATCCGAAATACTTGTTCATTATCTTCATGTCATTTGATAAAATATAAATTAATTAAAGTATTATCACATATACATGTAATTATAGGACTATTAATGCAAAGCCTTGTGTCAAACTTTAATCACACGTAAGTTGCTTGGTTTAAGGATATCCGATCCTCAGCTTTGGAGGATAACTCTTAATTTTATCATTTTATTCAAAAAGGCTAAAATGATTTTAATTTGGTTGTTTGTTTGCTGTTTAACGTCCCTATCGAGAATTTTTCACTCATATGGAGACGCCACAATTTGCCAGTGGAGAGCTGCAAATTTTGTCCTATACTTGGCA